CTATACTTCTACAGTATGTCTAGCTTTCATCCTAATACTAAGGTGAAATCTATGTTGAATATTCTTGATTTTATGTACATGGATTTTTAGATAGGTGGCCATATAGTGCTACAAGTTTCTACTCTCACAAATCCGAAAAGATCCTCCATAGCTTTATAAATTGCTGATGTGGCGGGATGGTCAAAAGGCTGTGTTGTGGTCCTTCACTATTAACACTCTCCAATCAAATTGGATATTGTCAAGTGAGGGTTACATTTTATAAATTTTCTACAGAGATGGTAGCTCTTTGTGTGACACTTGCTGATAATAAGAATCATTCCATTGTTAATACCTCAGTCCAGTTTGTCCAAGCTTTTCTCTCAATTTACTACAGAAAGATCAATGGCACACCAATTGCGAATTGGTAATCTTTCAGAGCACATCGAGAATTGAAAATCGTTTTTATTTTTGTGATATTTTTATATAAATTGTAATTTCAAAAGTGATCCCAGATTGTTTGTAATGAGTTTTTTATAAATCAGATTTCCAGATCAACACTTGACTTCAATATCAACAGTCATTTTTAAACTCGTCTNAGATATATCTATGATTGAGAAAGTACAAAACAAATTTCTCAGATTTAAACTCGGATATCTGAGGTCCGACTATGAGTACTCAGACATTCTGCTTCTTCTGAATTTATCTACTTTGGAGCACCGCTGAGCTGAGATTGATCTAAGACTTTCCCATAAAGTTATAAATGGTAATATGAACTGTCCATTTGTTTGTTGTTTAAAGTTCCTTACCATTCTACTAGCTATGGCTTAAATGAAACCATCACGAGAATGCTTAGGTTAGCAAATAAGAATAGCAACTATATTGATTTGTTGGACTCATCCTTGTACTCCTTTAAAAATCAGGTTGAACGAATTGACCTACTATGAAGAAACTGCTGATTATTATCAATAATTGATTGATATTTGTTTTTTGGTATTCTATATTATTATTCAATCGTTTATTTTTCCAATCCACTATTTATGTGTTGATTGTATAATGGCAAGTCCGTAAATAAATAAATAAATATAAAGCAAAGTTCCGTCCGGGGTTTATGTATGGCATGGCATCGACTACCAGCTAGCTGATCGGGAAAAAATAGCTGAAGAAAAACATAAAAAAATGTCGGAGCGATTTGAACGAAGTCTTCAAGAAAAATCTAAACTAATGAAAACCGTGACACTTTCATCCTCAGGAAGCAAATCCTCTGTTGAAATTGAAAGTGAGATAGATGAAAGACTAGAATGCCAAGAGCAAGTACTCCTAAGCCTAGAAGAGCCATCACAGCCAAAAAGAAGAAAATATCGTAAAATGACAACGTAGGTACATTATTGTTCAGATATTTTTTTGTAATTGAATCACTCCAAATTTGAAAAAGTATACATGTAGTGTTATTTTACCTGTCGAGCATAAATTATTCTTTTAAGAGATAATATATTTCTTGCACTAAATGCGCCTTCCGGATAACAAAATCTTGTTTTGTAATAGATTTCCCCTCAACAAATAAAAAATATTTGCAAAACTAGGCAATCATTGATGATTTAAAAAATAATTGAATAATTTTTTATCAGAATTAACGTTGCATGCGGCACCACTTCTTGGTATCCGATCGAAATGAAATTTTGTTTTTTCATGAAATAGAACCTTTTTGAGGGGTGGCAAAAGATGGCCATTCTAAATTACAGGGTGTTTTCTAATAGCAGTGAAAATATGTAAGGACATGTTCAGGAGCAAATTTTATGAAAAAAATTTCATTCAAACATAGGTTTGAAAATGCATTGTTTCCAAGATACAGGGTGATCAACTTTTCTAATAAAAAACCTATTCTGCATTAATATTCAACATTATTGATCAAAAACTGTACGCTACAGACATTTCTTGTGATATTTAATTTTCTGTTGGTAAGAAATCTAAAAATACAGCTTTTTTATCACTTTTTTTCATAGGTTGCTTTGTTTTCCACAATAAAAATGAAAAGCACTCTAATTGTATATCCCTCGATCACACATTAATTCATTTTCTTATTGCTATGTATGACACATATACAATTTCAAAATTAGATGTATCTATAAAATCTGTTGAAAATGATCCTTTGCCGCCAATATTGATACAAAAAATGAACTTTTGCAAAAAGTTCAGCATTGTGTATTTTAGAAACAATGCATTTCCGGGTCCCTAAACTATTTTTCACACAATCGGCTTATAAATTTGCCCTTACTTTTTTTACTGTAAATAAGAAAAACTCTATACTTTTCAGGGGCATCAGTGATGCTATTTCAAAGTTGGATTTTAACACAACTGGATCTTCATCACTAACCTTTTTGTTGCTGGGCGCACTGGCTTTTTCTTCCTGAACTGTCTCTGGTACAAAACTGAATACATAGGTATTCTGACCACCCCACTTTTCCAAGATATGTTCTGGAGGCACAAAGGTTTTTAAATCCTTTTTACTAACAAACTTGATTTTTTCCACAGCTTTTTCAGGCAACCAACTCTTAACTATTTTGAAGGCAGCTGAAAACAACACAGTTATCTCTGACTGTGAAAGTTTGGAGTATATACAACTATTGCAGGAATTCACTTTTGGTGATGAAAATTTGTTCAATGATATCTTTTTTTCATAGTCATATCCTGATGAAATGATTTTCCTCTATTGAAAATGAATTTGAAGCAAAAAACATTGTGAATTGAAGTTTGACTTCACGCTCTCTTGTCACAGTTGTTCATTCTATCAAAGTATTAAAATTAAACAAACATACCTGTTAGGACCCAAGGCATCTCAAAAATGAGTATGTAGTTCAGAAAATATGGATAGTATTCTTTAAAAAGCCCTATAAGATACTTTATCACTTCCATGTCCATATTACTAAGACCACAACCTTCCATATCAAAAAATATGGTTATTTGGTTTCCGTTAACCATCCTAAAATAAATACAAATCATATTGATCTTAAAATAACTAAATATTTTCAATAAAAAAATAAATTCTCACCTCTCTACCCTTTCGAACCAATATATGATACACCTCTTCAGTAGGTTAATATCCACAGCCCCTTTGACATGTTTGTTACATTTGAAAACTAGTAATTTACAACCATCAATATCAGCTCCATGGGTAAAAAAAGCTCCAGAACAGATTAAATCCATTTTGACATTACTTTCATTTATATCTAGAAGAAATAATACCTTTGACAAAAGGATTGTGTATCCACATATATTCCACATACAGAAACAGAAAAAATATTCTTCTTTATATATAAAATAATTTCAAATGAAAGGGTCTGAACACCAGATTTTTAAATAATTGTACTTTTGCTTTCAATACTTTCAGAAAGTTTCTCTTCACAAACAACAAAGTAACCAGGTTTTTCTAATCTTATTTACTCTGTAGCTCCACAAAAGAACTATATCTTGAAACTTTATGTGCCATAAAATACTGAAATCAGAGGGGTTATTTCGTTTATGCAATTATATAAATTAACAAATGCAGTCAGAATTAGCACCTCTCCTTGGATCTACTGTACCTGTATCTACTGTAGTATTTTATGTAGTACCGCTACTTAACCTACCATTAACTTGTTGATCCTTCCTCCATTTTACAGAAACCCATAACATGTTAAGGGCCATTTCTACATTTCCTTCATTATGTAAAATGAATCTCTGCAACCAGCGATCACTTGTTTTCACCTTCTCCACATCTCTTGGATCAACCTCTGAAAAAACAATCATACAGTTTCAGAAAATGAAGAGTTCTCATTTGATTAGTTCTGATAAATGAAACTCATTTTTGAATAGTACATTACCGTCTGGACTTTTGGTAGATAAATCATTTAAAAATCTGGACCTGAGATCATTTATTTTATCTTGAGATATTTCCAAATGATCCTTAACAGGCATCTTGGATATATCAATATTCAACAATATGGTATACTCTTTCTTTTCAGCTGCGGCACCAAGGTCTTAGACTTTATACTATAAGTACTGATAAATATTAAAATTTAAAATCAAACTATTCAAAAATGAATAATCCAAATGTCAACGATCATTATCACCTGTCAGTCATCGTTACATTTCCCAAGGACATAGATATCACAGAAGAGTAAACAATCAGGATCGTCACTCCTAAACTCGAGAAAATCTTGAAGCTTTTCTCGCGTACAAAGGTCGTCATTTTCTCAGGACAAATTGCTGTCTGACACCTAAATGTCGCTAGTTCAGTGTTTGAGGTCCGATACTTTCACCTAAGATATTTGAAATGTACCTATCTTGCACTCGTTACCTCACTGTTACCATGATCAGGTTCGAAAAAACAAATCGGGATTTGTAATCACAATTCTGCAGCAGAAACTTTTGCACTGATTTTACAGATCCGCAAGCTTGATTCACGAAAAGATTATAATATGTGTTTTCAGTTTCTATTTTAGACCCAAATTACACTTGTTATTTTTTGAATATGTGTTCGCAAACAAAGAAAAAACAAGTTGTGAGAGAAGTTAATCTTCAAATCATCGGTAATGACAGAAATTTTGGAAGCGAGTATTTGGCAAGATAGTATATTAAAATTATTTAGGCTAACTGAAATGTTTTGATTTTCAGATATATAATGAAAAAAATAACGTTCAGTTGTTCACAGATAGTGTGAAAAGAACATATGTTTTTGAATTGATTGTTGAATCAGATTTCGACGCAGTTGATGTTTTCATAAATATTGATATTCCTGATTTTAATAGTTCCATGTCATGAGAGTATATTTTTTGGGTTATGTAGAATTTATAACCTATCTAACCATAAGTGATTGTATAGTGTGAAGATTTGTGGATTTTTTTACTCATAAAATGATATATTCAGTACAATCCTAATTCTAAATCTAAGTTCACCACAAAATTCAATTAATCATGTTGAAAAGGCTAGTTACGGCACCCTACAATGGCATAAGAAGATTCTCTACTCTTCTTCAACCACAACTATCAAATGGTATACAATGTACTTTTTAAGCAATACCTCAGTGATACATTTTTTATTATGGGATAGGACCATACTTGAAAAATGTCCGTAGTAAAATTACTGAATACAAATTACTTACTGGTCGAAACATCTTTTGCATAGCAAACAAAATAACTTGGTGAAAATCTTTGATAAAAACATTGGATGTACTTCATTCTCAGATTTCACAGTTTACTAAACAGCAGCACGTTTTACTATACAATCGCTTTTTCAGCCATGTTTGATACTAAACTGAATTTTAAACAGTGCTTATATACACTAATGATTTGAATCATAATATATTTCACAAACTACTTAATGACTAATAATTTTAACTGCTCTAAGTACAAACTCATCAAATGAACTTGAAATAAAAACTACAGTTCATCAGGACTATCCTAATCAGTAAGCTTTGGATGCGCAGTTGATTGGGCTGTAGAAATCCACTTAGCCCTATCCCTTCTCCTTCACCTGACATACTATATCTATGTTTTTATTCCAATCTTCATTTGATTACCAGTTTCATGTAAAGAAAAAGTTGAGAAAGAACAGTTATTCAATTCTTTTTGATCAATGAGCAAACATTCCCAATTTTCAAGTCAACCAGTTTAGCAGTAGGTCTTTTTAGAAAAGTGATTTCATGAAAATCATATTTAATTGTATTTAGCAATTTTATATATATCATCATTATTTTTCTTGATGTACACCAATTAAAAATTATTGAACTGCTTATTTTTTCCAGTACTTGAAAAGGAAACAAGGAAAGATGACCCATTACAGCACCCAGACTACTTCAGTGTGCACAATCTATTCACAGTGAAGGATTTGCTCGATGCTAGAGTACACTATGGTCACAAAGAAGGATCTTTGGATGAAAGAATGCTTCCATATATCTACGGAAGCAGACTTGGCCATATAATATTTGACCTAGACATTACTGCAGAATATCTAAGACAAGCTCTCAATGTCGCTGCTCATGTTGCTTATCGGGGAGGTATAATAACTTTTTTTCTTAGAGGTGCACAAAATTCACATCTGGTTGAAACTACAGCTAAAGAATGTGAAGAATATGCACACACAAGATTCTGGAGGGGCGGAATTTTCACCAACGTCGATAAGCAGTTTGGAGCAGTTACAAGACTACCTGACTTATGTATTTTTCTCAATACATTGAATAATGTTCTCATTCAGCATACGGCCATAAGAGATGCTGCTAAAATGGCCATTGCAACCATAGGCATTGTGGATTCAAATTGCAATCCGAATTTGCTAACTTATCCTGTACCAGGAAATGATGATACCCCAGCTGCAATTGAACTTTATTGTAGATTATTCAAAAGTGCTATTTTGAGAGGGAAGGAAAAACGAAAAGAACATTTTGAAAGATAGATACTTTGTATGTGTAGAATATCATTAATTATACTTGTTTACTAGAAATTTGTGTTTATTTATTGTAATCCTTGGGAGGAATTCATTTCTGGCAAAAAATATATTGAATGAAACACCCACAAATAACTAAAATTTCTTGTCACTATTGGAATCCTACTGTGGTACTTCGAGATATTGAACCATACTTTGTCATCTGAAATAAATCAAATATAATATGGGAATATCTGCTATATTCAGAAAAAAAACTTCCACCCACATTTTCATATTTTTTCTTTGATATAATATCGAATTTGCCAGATTTTTTGTGACCTGTAACTAAAGCCTTAAACCATGTTTATAAATTTCATAATTAAAAGAAAATCAAGATATATCTGATGAAATTGATTCTCAAAGTGGTCTGTAGGAGGTCTGTAGTCTATGCTTTGGAAAAAAAGTGGTGTAATAATAGGTCTGTTGTAGTCTATACTTTGGAAAAAAACTTTTTTTTTTCATTCAAACCACATACAACTCCACAATTTGGTGCCCTTCATATAATGTGGATTTTGACATGCTTGAAAGTGTTCAAAACAAGTTTACAAAGAACTCTAGGATATCATATTGGTGAATATAACTATAAAACTATATTGGACATTCTAAACTTGAGTACTCTGACTCATAGATTAACAGAAGTGTGTCTGGGACTCGACTGACTTCAACAGCCAACTCAAAAAACAAATCGATTTCAATTAAAGCATGCATCCTAATATTCAAAAAATGAATTCGTAAATGTGCCACATAAATCATAAAATCCTTGTCACTACTCAAAAAACTCACCGACTTGAAATATGAAACTATATACATATTTCAAAATCAATTATAACAGTTCATCCATATGCTGAAGTTCGAATCCTTCTCACAAACGAGAATGCATTATTTGGATAGATAGGGAGCTAAACTACTCAATACTGAATAAAGTTAAAAACTTCAAAAAATCAAAAATATTTATTACTCAACAATCTCTGGATTTGAAATTGTTTCAACAATTGATGCAAATATTTCAAACTAGATAAGTTCAGTTGAATTAATAAATACATGTTTAGTATACCTATATTACAAAACTTAATTACCCCAAGACCATGAAAAGTGCAGACTAGTGCAGTGAAATGAATACAAGAACTTGCAGAATAATGTTAGTAAAGAGTTTGAAAAAAAGTCCAAATAGTCCTCAAACTATATCTACAGTTGAAGAACCCTCCACCAAATCATCAGTCTTTACGTTTCATCTGAAAATTAAAATCACAGAACATCAATACTAGCAAATTACTACCATCCCACCACCTGTTAAGTAACCGTCAAAAGGAGCTGACAAAAATAGTTATTTGTGCCAAATATTGTGACTTATCCCACATTTGAACTGACCCAAGAAAAACCTGGTTAAAGAAGTTAATACTCTGTAGATCTTTTGTCGGTAACTGATATAGCTGATGGGTATATAGTGTGCCTCAAGTTTCATGGAGCCGTTCCTACATCACAAAAAATGACGATATATTTTTAATTTTGATTTCAACCGATTAACCCCTAGAGAATCGACATTCACCATGATTACGGTTTTCATCAGGAGAGAGTTGGAATTTCGGATATACTTTTATATTATAATGGATACTGAAGTGAAAAATTCTACCAGTTTTCACTTTTTTTTATATTTTTCAGTATATCTATTTTTGAATTCATATTGGGTTTTCTTCTACATATTCCTTCTTCAACAGCT